GGCTTCGCCCCACAAGTGGGGCTGGGCTGGGGGTGACTTACAGAGGTCGCGGATCTGGGGCAGTCTGGCGCGCTTCCCTCCGCCTCTGTGGAGTCCTTTGCTGGCTTTCCTGGCCTTTGATGACTGGGCTGATCGCTCGTTCCCGCAGCTGGGCTTGGGCGCTCTCAGGAGTCCTCCTCTGTGTCGGCCCCAAAACCTCGAACCTGCTGCCGCTTGTTTGTCGATGTAGGATCGTTGTTGAAAGAATTATTTGCCTTTTGTTGCTCTTGGAAATGCAATCAATACTCTGGTATCACAGAGCATGGCTCACAGGATTGCGCTGTCTCCTGTCACGGCTGCTCCAGACCCGTCGCCATGTGCCATTTTTTCTTCTCTGAGATCAGTGTTGTCTGCTGTGCTGTGTTGGTCTCTGTTATTACCTGAGGGTATTCAGAGTGCCAGCCCTGAATCCCATAAGTGGGTGAGCTGCAGAGAGTGACAGGGGGCAGCTGTGCAGGTATGTTGGAGACACAGGATCTGGTTCCCTGGTCTTGGAGAACTTTCCTGGGTCTAGGTGCTTCTAGGTCCTCCTAACTTCTCAGGACTGAATATGATTTTGTGTGGCTGAGGAGTCCCACAATATGCAGTCTGCAAACTGAAGAGCTAGGGAAGCCGGTAGCATGGCTCAGTCCAAGTGTGAAGGCCTAAGAACTGGGGAAGCTGATAGTGTGATTCTCAGTCTGAGGCCAAAGGCACCAGTACAAATCCCAAAGTCCAAAGACTGGAAAACCTGCAGTTATGATGTCCAAGAGCAGGAGAAGATGAGTGGCTCAGCTCCAGAAGAGAGAGAGAGTATGTTTTATACTTTTAATGTATATGTGTATATCCATAAACAAGAAGTAGTACTCTTTTTACATGTTTAAAAACTTAAATCTGGGCCGGCCCGTGGCTCACTCGGTAGAGTGCGGTGCTGATAACACCAAGGCCGCGGGTTCGGATCCTATATAGGGATGGCCGGTTTGCTCACTGGCTGAGCGTGGTGCTGACAACACCAAGCCAAGGTTGAGATCCCCTTACCGGTCATCTTTAAAAAAAAAAAAAAAAACTTAAATCTTATCAAACTGTATTTTTTATGTAATCCTGCTTTTTTTACCTCACATTATGCTTTTGAGGTTTATCCATGTTGATAAATATCTCTAACTCATTAATTTTTCACTGTTGTATGAAATTCTGTAGAAATTTATCATAGTTTATTTATCTATCCTCTTGATGACTATTTGGGGCTTTTTTAATTTCTAAATTTTCTAATGCTGTTGAATTAACTTTTGTTCCAATTGCTGTAATTACTTCATATCCTATCAGCTGAGGGTGATATTGGAGCATAGTTCTATACTAAACACCAACAAATGATTAGTTTTACGATCAAGATGTTTAGAATTGTGGGTAAGTGATGGAGAAGAAAATGATGACAGAACAAAACCAAGTATAATCAGTTCAATACACATTATTCATGGAATTGCCAATCCTTATTGCCAATCGCCCAGGCTACGACTTATTATTATTAGGTGAGATAACCTCTGCGCCTATCTGACAGCAGATCCCGTCAGGTAAAAAGTTTTTTTAGAACTTTATTGAGGTATACTTCAAGTACAATAAATTACATATATTTAAAGTATACAATTTGATTAGTTTTGACACATGCATACTGCGAAACCATTATGACAATCAATATAATGAACATATGTGTCATCTCAAAAAGTTTTTTTGTGCCCCTCTGTAATTCATACTTCCCTGTCTCCAGCTGTCCCAAAGCAACCATTAATTTGCTTTCTGTCACCATAGGTCTGTCTGCATTTTATAGAATTTTGTATAAATGGAACCACAGAATAGGTACTTTTTTGGGGTGCTGGTTTCTTTCACTCAGTACAGCTGTTTTGTTATCTATCCATGTAGCTGCATGTATCAATAGTTCATTCCTTTTTATTGCTGAATATTACTCCATTGTGTATATACACATATGTGTATACACACATACTGTCTACTTTCTCCACAATTTCTGTGCACTTGTGATAGACATTTTGACTGTTTCCAGCATTTGGTTATTACAAATAAAGCTGCAATGCACAAGTCATTGTATGGACATATGCTTTTAGTTCTCTTGGGAAAATACCTAGGAGTAGAATGCCTGGTTAGTGTGGTAGGTATATGCTTAAGTTTTAAAGAAACTGCCAAATTGTTTTCTAAAGTGGTTGTACCATTTTACATTATCACCAGCAGTATATGAGAGTTCCAGTTACTCCATATCTTCACCAACACTTAGTGGTATCTCACTGTGGTTTTAATTTGCATTCCCATTATGACTAATGATGTCGAGCATCTTTTCAGGTGCTTATCTGCCATTTCATGTCTTTGGCAAAGTGTTCAAATCTTTGTCCATTTTTTAATTGGGTTGTCTGTCCACTTGAGATATGTAAGCTTTAATAAAACTTACTTTGCTTCCACCTTTTGGCTACTGTGACTAAGGATAAGCAAATAGAATGTTTTAATTTTGATAAAATCTAATTGATTTTTTTTTTTACAGTATGTGCTTTTTATGATGTATTAAGAAATGTTTGCCAAACCCATGATCACTAAGATTTCCTCTTTTATTTTCTTCTAGTAGTTACATTTACGTCTATGATCTATTCTGAGTTAATTTTTGTATACAGTGTGAGGTAAAGGTAGAGGTTCATTTTTTTGCACATGGCTACCCAATAGCACCATTTATTGAAAAGATTATCTTTTCCCTATTTAATCACCCTGGCACCTTTGTTGAAAAACAACTGACCACATATATATTGGTCTCTTTCTAGACTCTCTATTCTGTTCCATTTATCTATATGTCTATCTATGCCAATACTGCACTGTTTTCATTACTGTATCTTTATAATAAGTCTTGAAATCAGGAAGTGTAAGTCCTCTAACTTTGTTCTTTTTTTCAAAATTGTTTTAGCTACTGCAGGTCCTTTGGATAACGAAATAAATTATTTAAACCAACTCATTAATTTCTTTAAAAAAAGAGCCTATTGGGAATTTGATTGGGATATTTAATCTAGAGATCAATTTGGGGAGAATTAACATCTTAACAACTTTCCATTTACTTAGGTATTCTTTGTTTTCTGTCAGCAATGTTTGAAAAAAATTTTTTAAAACCCTAGCAATCATTACTGACACCAAATCAGCTGGTCTACCCCACCTATTTCCTTTTCCTTAGTCCTTCTAGCAGCTTATTACTCCAGCAACAACCTCATAATTCCTTTTAGGTACATATTACCAGGATAACATGGCCAAAACTGCAAAGAAAACTGACAATAAAACAGGAACTTAAAGGAGGTGGAAAAGATTAAGGTCTCAGGTGCACTCCAATATGTACTTATACTGATAGATTAAGATCCACATCAGAAAGGGCTGAGATGTGATAGAGAGCTAAAAAGCCAGAGGCTTATTGGGCCAAACCCATATGATTTCACAAGATGGAAAATCTCACTTATCAGCACAATCATCATGTGACTGTCTCTGTTAAATAAACAGAACATGTGAGAGAGCATAAAATATAATAAGATTTGTTGGAAAACATCCTTGTTTGGAAGAACTGATAAGCAACACCTACATGGTCACCAGAAACTTACTGTTGGACAGGACTGAGCTCGGTTCCAGATCAAATCAAACTTCTCTTCCTGTAAGTTGGAAAAGAATAAAATTAACTTACAAATAGAAAACACAAAAAGCCATGAAGACTGAATTCTAGAATTATAATACAACTAAAACAATCTTTTAAGTTCCATGACTTATAAATCACTCTTATGACAGAAAAACAGGAAAAACCAAAAGCATGCTTTGCTGTTCATTGTCAGAATTATGTGTGATGAGTAGGGGCTCCAATGCTCCAAATTCTCCAGGGAACTCTGACAAGTGTCAGAGATATCAGGTCACTAAGGGAGAGCTAAGAAGGCCTGTTCAAACAATGAGTCGGTATCAGAGATCTAAAACATCATGAAAAGTGCAGACTCTTTTGGATGTTGAACTCATAAAGGGTAAGGGAGTATATGCATAACAGGCTAAAAAAAAAAAAAAGATACTGATACCCTTACAACAACCAAAAGGCTTGGCTTTGTCCTTCCTTCTATATGCTTTCTTCCTTAATCTTACACTTACTCATGTAAGCTCAGTATATATTTGTGTGCTTAATATAAACTTAACCTAAGCCACTTTCTCTTCAGGGAAGAACAACAATTAAAACACTAGCTGATAACCCAGTACTTCAAATGCTTTCTTATGGTGGTGGTCAGCAGAAGGACATTAAACTAGAGAAGCCAGAAGCGTGCCAGTCACAGACCTTAATGTCAAGCAGTGGCTGGTGACCATCTCCATGACAGCAATTTCAGGAAGGGAAAAACCAAGAAAATGGTACTTGCTAAAGGCAAATGCCAGAAAAAAGACTAGGAAGAGCTCAGGTATAGGTCACTTACAGACAAAGGAAGAAAGCTAAGTTAGAGGCCATGTCTTAAATTCCAACAGCTTGGTTGGAAAACACCAAAAAGAAATAAAAGACATCTGGAAATTACTCAGCAATGTGAACTTATACCATGCTCCCTTGCCAGAGACTTGACTCAGAGACATTTCTAAACCAGAAACAAGGAAAACAAGAGCCATAAATATACCACATCGAGCTTCCAATCTTTGGTGCTCAGGGCATAGTAAAAACCCTTAGAGCTGTAAAATGCATGTTCTCAAGAGGCAATAAACATAGGAAAAGTAAAGGCAACTGCCTGCTAAGGTTAGAGCTGACCTCCATGCTGTAACACTTTATTTTTCCCTCCAAACTACTTACAGGAATAATTGCGTAGACTGTGTCTTTTGCTGCAAAATACTGCTGCCAAATCTGTACAAAAAAGAGAGGGTGTCTGTGACATGTGGGTAATCTTTTCAACCTGCGCTGTTGTGGTGACAGCTTTCACTGCTCAGAGTAATATGCTATTTGATAACGGGGAGGAAAAACCCTATGTAATGCTTTTATTACTCGTACATGATTACAAAAAAGATTTAATACAATCCCTTCTTCTAGATGATTAAACTGTAACTCTCAATAACAAATTCCTGTCAGAAAAACTGATTCTATGACGTTTGAAGCCATTCCTCTTAAGATGTGCCTTGTGTGTGATAGACAACCTCTTTTTTCCATATCTTCTTTCTTCTTTCTTCCTGGAAAGCCCTCCTCTCCCCATCTCTGACCCCCAAAATTCTTTCTATCCTCCGCATGCCTCTTCTTCCAAGCAGTCTCCCCTTGACACTTCAGTCAGAAGTTTTTCTATGAATTGCTTTTATACATTATACCTCTCTAAAGATGCCTCATATATGCTACTACATAATAAGGTCATTTACATATAAATCCATATCCCTAATTACTTTGCAAGCCTCTGTAGGCAGGATGTCTGCCTGTGTTATCACCAATGCCTTGCAACCCAAAAAGTATTCAGACATGCTGGTTGAATGATAAATGATTATGACATAATATATATTTGGTCTCTGTCCTGGTTCCCAACATAGAGCTCCTAAAAGAGGCACTTAAACCAGGTTAGGGAACAGTACCAGAGGAAGGGAACTTGAACCACATCCTGAAGAATGATCAGGAATTGGCCAGGTAAATAGGGAGGTTGGGAAGATGAATAGGTACAGCAGGAGGAGATAGACAGACATACTATAAGCAGAGAATGACAACATTAGCAAAGGCATAGAAGTAGGGGAAGGCATCATGACCAAAGTGACACCTGAGTGAGCTGGTGCTGAAGACTGGGTCACTCTCCTTTAGAGTTGCTCTGCTTTGCCAACATTACTGTTAAAAGGTTGGGTCCCAGTTGAAGATACTAATCAAAGTGTGATCTATCTAACACAGAGCACAAAAGAACTATTATTACCTCCTAGGACCTAGGCAAACTATTAATGCAGGCTAAGGTTGCTTTGAGGCCCCCCCCCCTTTTTTTTAACATGTCAAACATTGCCTTCTCATTTTAAGGACAGCATATTCTGATTATTTTGATTTAATTTATGATATTAGCAGATAGTTTATGAATCAACACTAAAATTTATGAGACTGATAAATATTTCCTAACATAGTTTTTACCTCAGTTACTCAAAATTTTTTTTAACAAACACAAATTTGTACCTAAAATTACAGGTCTAATGATACTTGTCATATGATCAGGCTTTGTGGAACTGGCTTCTCTCTCCCTAAACGACATACTTGGTGTTCATACTGGCACTTCTTCCCAATGGCACCGTCCAAGGTCTCTCTGAGATTTTGCATAAGCCTCTATTAACAGAAGTTAGAACCATGTGCTGATCTCATTTGTTTTTGTGTCTTTCTCTCCATTAGGCTAAAAATCTTCGAGGGTAGGGAGTCTCTCATTTATCTCTGTGTCCAGCATAGAGCCTAAAACATTTAATAGGTTTTTAATAAATGCTTGCTAACATAAATGATACAGCATCCAAAGGAAACCCATGGCAACCAGCACAACTTCCTGTAAGTGAATATGATACAGAGTCAAACAGACATGGGTTTGAGTCTCTACTACTGACTAAGTTACTTAATCTCTTTAGGTCACAGTTTCCTCAATTGTAAACTGGGAATAACAGCACCTACTTCACAGAGTGGTTATGAGAATTTAGTGAAATAATGCATATGAAGCACTAGGCATAGTACCTGACACATAGTATGCTTCTTTTATTATTTTGATCCTCTCAATATACCTAAAATATAATTGATGAAACCATAAAGAATGCCAAAAAATAGCTCATTGTAGTCTAATGAGAGACAAAAGAATCACAGACATGAAAAGGTAAACAGCAATGTAAATCAAGGTACATGGAATGACCAAACAGGCAGGAGAGATCTTGAGTGCTTTGAAGAAAGGTGTCCAGGAAGCTTCCTGCAGAAGGTCCTGTAATAATGGAAGACTTTGAATGCCAAGAAAAGGAATATGGGAAGTGACTGAACATATGTGAGCAGGTTCCTAATATAACATTTATTTTTATTCATTTATTTAAAAATAAATATAGCACTTACTCTGTGCCAGGCACTGTTTTAAATGCTTTACAAATCTTAACTCATTTAATTCTCCAAATAACTCTATGAGGCACTATTATTATCTCCACTTTACAGTAGGGAAACTAAGGCCCAGAGAAGTTAAATAACTTGTGCAAGTCATACAGCTAGTAAGCGGCAGAGCTAGGACTGGCATCATGGTTCTAGAATCTGTTCTCAACCAATACACTATGCTTCTCCATAATGAAAGCAGAACTTTATGAGGACTCAGTTGGTGAGAATATGATAGGTGAAGTGGGAAAAAGGGGAGCAGGGAAACCAATTTGGTAAGGTAGTACAGTAATCCAGGCATACGGTACAGATGATTTTAAAGAAGATGTGGGCAACAGGAATGAATAAGAAAGGAGAAATAAGAATTGATTAGACATTTAAGAGCAAGACCAAGAAAGACAAGTTTTCTTATGCCACTGTCCTTCATGTAATTTATCACTTTTGCCTTTTACAACTGTCTTTCATTTTGGCTAGAAAGAGGTGTCAGAAAATGTATGCTCCTTTCTACTCTCAGATTTGGTTCACAGAACACATATTTTCATAGAGTACACCAATCCATTTTCATTCATTACCTGTTTTATTTCTTCTGCAGTTTTGTCTTTCACCATCTCAATGTTAAAGATTGAACTGAGAGTCTTGAAAGAGAAAATAAAAGAAATTAACAGCTACAATTAAAAAAACAAAACAAAGTAGCTTGACTCTAAGTCTTGTGAGAAACAACATGTCAGGACAGTGAAACAGATCTTTAATAAGTAGAGAACAAGTATAAGAATCTGCATGCTCAGAAAAAGTGAGCCCGCAATCCCAGGCAGGTGTTTTTTTTGTTTGTTTGGTGGCTGGCCAGTATGGGGAACCGAACCCTTGACCTTGGTGCTACAAGACTGTGCTGTAATAACTGAGCTAACCGGCCAGCCCCAGGCAGGTTTTCACAGTTCTATTCCTGGGGAGTTTCTATTAGGTCATCATGTACTCCCCAAATGTTTTCCCTCACCAATAAGTCCTGCAGCACTTTGCAGCTAGTAAGAAAGCTCCGTTGTTATTTTTAACTTAACTTCTATTCTACTAGGGGTGGCTCTTTATTTGTGAATTAAGTGACAGACCAAACATGTTTTTATCTGATTTTTTAAACTATTCCCTACAGAAAGGAAGGGTGTCACTACATTTCCTTCAAATTTCCTCCAGCACTTCCAGGACCAACACTTATGCTAGGGGTCCTGTCAAGGACACAAAAATTCATAGAAATATTTCTCATCGCTACAGTTGGAAAAATCACCTTATACAAAATTACCAAGTCACAATAAATATGTTCCGATTTGCAGCCTCTTGTTATAGATGTCCCATATGACTTCATATTTGGATCTCTATATTTAATTAGAAACCTACCTTGTCCCTAGTGAATCCTCTGCTGATAGGCTGTTTCCCCAAGGTACCAGTCTGAAATACATGAACAGACAGGATATTAATCTACACTTTACTCATAAGAAAAAGACCACCAAGCTAGGTGATGTACCCAATGTCATTAAGTAATTTTGCATCTGAGAACTCACTTATCTCTACTTTATAGTAAGCATATACACTGTTTTAAGAGTTACTGCTTGTGAGACAATTTTCCTCTAAGATTCTGAGTTGCAGAGATCGGATAAGATTTCTTTGTCAGTAACCACCATCTACTAGTACTAAGATGCCATTCTACATCTGCCACTATGGATATGAGGAACTCCTTCCCAGAAGTAAGCCTGCTTGGGTTTCTTATGCTCTGCCCTCTGACTTATCCTACACTGAGCCACAGAGGAGGTGAGAAATGGAAAAGATGTGTTTTCCAAGGCTATTGCTCATCTCTGACTGCACTTCTGATGGGAGGCATCCTCAGCAGACTGGAGTCTTTTCAAGTACTCAGTCTTAATATTCCCTCCACCAAATTAGACTTCCCCCTCAAAAAAGGCCAAAAACAGTGATTATTTTCTTTCCTAGCCCACTAATCCTAATAAAGGTCAAAGCCAGGAAATCCTATTTTGAGTTGTGTGTCTTCCACTCAATCTCTAAACTCAAGACCATGCCTTTCAGAGGGAAGGAGTACTATCTACACCTGTGATTCTGAAGCTGAAAAACACTTTCTGCATAAAACCTTGCCTTTTGTCACTCTGTGCCTTAATGAATCCAAAAGTTTCATAAATGATCCCCTTAGAATCTGTATCCACAATTAGACAAAAGCCTGGTGCAGAAAAACCTGTTGGGTACACTCTGGTCTTTCTGGTGACACTCCTATTTATTGGCAGCATCCTAGTGTAGCCAATCCTTCATAGATAAACCATTTAAAAAGGGGCGAATTGATTTCATTTTCATACTGCTCTCAGGTGTACCATGAAAACAAAACAAACCCCTCCATTTTCACAGCTGCCTTCACCTTTCAATCACCAAGCCCTATATATATTTTTCCCACAACATCCCTCCTATCCATTCTTCATTTCCATTTTCACTTATAGAAGTAAAAAAATTAAGCCCCAAGTATAAGCTTATTGCATTTTATCCAATCTAAGACACCACCAATGTTAAGATGCACCATTACTTTATGTATCAGAAAACGATGCCAATTAAACAATAGTACAATACTTTCACATCACATCAATTTTAAGACAATTTTGGAAATGCTAAAATGTGAAAAAATGGGCTTTAAAATCGATGAATTAAGGTAATTAAAATAGTTTAAACTATATGCCAAAAGTCTCAAAAGCACTTAATAAAACATTTAAATGGGTGCTTTACTTCCCCTCATGGATGCTTTGGAAATCTGTGGGGACAATTTTCTTGTTGTCACAATAACTGACTGGATAGTGATATCGGCATATATGGGAGGGACAGGGGTGCCAAATGAACTGCAAGTTTACGATGTATTCTACATGATGAAGAACTTTCCATCATCCTACACAACTTTTCAATGTGTAGCCAGACAACCTCGTAGGTGCAAACCTTTTTATAATTACCTGGGCCTAGAAAGTAAGTATATTTTTTTTGTTTGTTTTAGACACAGCTTTAATAAACACTGAATTTTCCAGAAATGCAACTACTACATAACTTGAGAGATTATACCTGTGGAATCTCAGGTCACTGATAACAACATTGCTCGTGGTTTCTGAGTTTTTATAATTACCATACAACTCCCTTGCACAAGTCAACATCTGCTGCTTACATGTTCATGGTTATTTCACAAACAGGTGAAAGCATTTGATGACTGTGTTAGGTCTCACAGTATAGTTGTACCCAAGAATTAACATACCAAAATATGTATTATATTAAAAAATACTTTCCTTTATGTTATGATTAGGGCATTTATTGATTTTTTTTCCCATCTGAAATTATGCATATAGGTAGCTTACACTGTCTACCCACCTATATTGTTTCAAAGTAGAAAAGAGAGAATTAAAAAAAAATTATTATAAAAAGGAGATGTTGAGTCTCATGTATTAGAAAACCAATGACTCGAAGTAAAGGTTTTGGGAATGGAAAGTATGGGTTAGCCATTCATCTTTCTCTATCAAGCTGGATAAGGAAGACGGTAAGCATATACTTACCCAAGAGTTGCCATAATTTAAATTAAATCTTTAAATCTTTACTTATTCTGCATCTTCTCATAAAGCTGAATTTCTAAGTCTTTTTACAGAAAAGGGGCAAAGAGCTTTCCCATCTAATATTGAAAGTTTATAATAAGTAACATTTCTAGGAGCTACTGATTTGTAACCTCGCTTCTACGTTTATTATGGGAAATTACAATTATTAAAATATTTATAGTAGAGGGCCAGCCTGTGGCTCACTCAGTAGAGTGCGGTGTTGATAACACCAAGGCCACGGGTTCGGATCCCATATATGGGATGGCCGGTTTGCTCACTGGCTGAGCGTGGTGCTGACAACACCAAGCCAAGGGTTGAGATCCCCTTACCGGTCATCTTTAAAAAAAAAAAAAAAAAAAAAAAAATTTATAGTAGAGAGTTGTCTGTTCACTTAAAGTTGTAAACTATGCTTGTCATAGGAGGTTGAATTTGCTCCCCAACCTTGTGATAACCCATTGACAATTAATCTTACTCTAATTAAAACTCAACTAATTATTAAAACTGAGCTGATTCTCTTAAAATTTAGGATACCCAAGGCAAAAAAAAAGTTATTTTCCAAGTAAAATAAACATCTCTAATTTGCCTTTAAAACACAATACAGGGCCGGCCCGGTGGTGCACTGGATAGTGCGCCGCTTGGGAAGCGCGGCGGCGCTCCCGCCCGAGGGTTCGGATCCCACATACAGACCGGTTCCCGCTCACTGGCTGAGCGAGGCGCGGGAGCGGCACCGAGGGTTGCAATCCCGTTGCCGGTCCCCGGTCCGGTACGGGGGCAACACAGGGTTGCGATCCGTTGCCGGACACGGAAAAAGACAAAAAAAAACAAACAAACAAAAAAAAAAAAACACAATACAGAATCCCAATTTTTGACTGTGACTACCGTATTTCAGGCTCTCCACAGCCCACACCTACATTACTACATATTCTTCCTGGTTCCAGCCTCTGCTACTCCGATTTGTTCTCGGAACTACCCTAGATTGATATTTTTCAAATCATAAGTTGTAAAATAAATTTAGTGAATTGTGGTCAGAGTTTTTTAAAAGATGAAAAAGAACCAAAAATAGGAAGAATGCACTGCATGTCGTAAAGGTAAACACTGTAAAAATTTTGTTTCAGTTATAATCATATACACACATGAGTACTGAATTGCAGTATGAAATATATTTCTTACTGTGGGTCATGGTCAAAAAATTTGAAAAACACTGCATTAGATTAATCTTCCTATACACAGCTTTCAACATGTTTTTCCCCAGCTTTGATTCCTATTTAAGGGTAATAATAGCTAATACGTATTAAGAACTTATTGTATGTCAGGTTCTGTGCTAAAGAGTTTGACATGATATTATCTCATTCAATCTTCAGCACAACTCTGTGAGGTAGGTACTGTCATTACTCCTGTTTTACAGATAAGCAAACCAAGGCATGGAGAAGTTACATAATTTGCCCAGTCACCCAGCTAGTAAGTGGAAGGGCTAGGATTCAGTCCCAGGCATCTGGCTCCAGAGCCCATCCTCTTAACAGCTAGGTTATTCTGCTTCCACTCCTTAAGCCCACAAGCCTCAGCATGAAGGTTAATGCCTAACCTATTTTTTTTTTTTGCCTCACCACTTCCTTCTCCATTTTAATTGGGCAAGGTACCTGTCTCCTGAAACTCCCTTTACCTTTAAAGTTTTTCCTCTGTTTAAACTAATTCCTCAACATGGGAGTGGTGGATTACTAAATCCAGCCTGCCAACTGATTTTGTAAATAAAGTTTTATTGGAACAAACCACACCCATTCGTTTGCTTATTGTCTATGCTTGCTTTGCACTATAATAGCAGAGCTGAGTATTTGCAATAGAGACCATCTCCCCCACAAAGCCTAAAGTATTTACTATCTGGTCTTTCACAGAAAAAGTTTGATGACCAATGCTCTACATCAAAGTCCCACACCCTCCTCTCTGTTTAATTTAAATCTCCCACACCCTTCCTAGTCTAGGTCAGGTTCCACCTCTCCTGGGAAATTTTCCCTGAACCCTACAATCCACTGCCATGTGCGCCTGTCTTGACTACTTGGCTGCACCCGCTGGGAGCAGGGACTATTTTTTTTTAATCCCTCTAAATCTCCACTAGTACCTTGCCTAGAAAGAGCAAGATACACATTTATGGATGGAGACTGAGTTGAGAAGAGAAAGGCTATGTTCAATTCACCCAGCTGACGCATCAATGAGCCTACTTCAAGGATAAGAGTTGCAGGGAGGGAGGAGAAGTGCTGGTAAGCCAATGACACAAAAAGAGGCAGGTCTTACCTTCTGCTCCACACATTTGATAAAATCACCTTGCCGGGAGTGCCCCACTGGTTGCTTCTGCAGCTCACTGCGCTTCTCCAGGCGGGACTCAAAAGCAGCTGGATCAGACCTGCTTAAAGGTAAATCAAAGGGTAAACACCTGGGCCTTTTGGATTTTGAAATAATAAAGCATCATGTTCCACCTCCACAGAGAAAGGACACAGGCATTCACAGAGGCTAAAGGATTTACCTTCAATAAGGACTGGGCACAGGCCTAGAAATGAAGAAAGTGGAAAAAATAATCCAGTCATTCATCTATTGTTAATCCTTAAGTGGCCTGTGTAACACCTTTCTCCTGCAGGCTATTCCCTAGGTGACACAGAGCTTGGTCCCTCAGGTACTTGCACTCTGGGTACTTAGAATACTCAGAATGGAAAGGATATTTTGAGGTCATCTTGCTGGGTCACTTACTCAGGCAGGAATACTATAACATCCCTACTAAGTGTTAAGTTTTTACTTGAATACATCCAGTTCTTGGACATCTCCCACCCCACCCCATCCCACCCCCAGGTTAAATGTTTTATTCAGATCTTGGTAATTCAGAGCCATCAGGCAGTCTGTTTCACAGAAGATTTAGCACCTGAGTGTCTCCCTGATCCACTATCCTAAGAATCTACTCCTGCAGATGGAACAACAGAACTCGTCCTTCATGTCAAATTGGGGCCAGTCTTCAGGCTTGAAGTCTTGCTTGGGGCTGCCATCTTTGTTAAGAATTCTTCAGGCTGTCTGTAGTGATGAGATAATTGGCTTTGTACACTTTGGTGAAGACATCATCCAGGGCCTCCAGCTCCTTGGCTATAAGACTCGTAGTGTCATGGGTGAGGTCTGTAGCATGCAGGGACATCTTGACTACCCTCCTAGAGGACCTTCCTGGACAAGGCATTATAGAGGGTCCCTCTTCTGATCAGTGCCAGGACCAGGGTCAGTACTACTATCAGCCACAGCTGCCCTTGGGCCTGTCATGGTGAGCACCCAGAGATGGAGAGGGATGACCTGTGTGGCAGAGCTCTTGCTGGGCTATAGGGATACAGATATAAATAAGACAAGAGTCCCTACCTCGAGGTGCTTACTATCTAGTGGGAGAGACAGACATGGAGATAGTACATGAGAGTGCTGCAGGTATTATGATAAAAATTTGCTCAAACATACTTGAATGGTTGAGATGGTTTCATGCCTCTGTACTTTTGCTTATATTGCTGCTCCCCTTATCTGGAACATCCTGCCTTCCTTTGCCCTTCCAACTTTTTTTGTGGTAGACCATAGTGGCTCAAAGAAAGTTTTGGTAATAGATAAGGCTAAAGAGACCAGCAGGCATCAGGGTGTGAGGGCTTTGTGTGGACCACGAAAGAATTTGGATGTTATCCAAAAGTCAACGGGGCACCTTGGAAAGCTCACTCTTTAAGAGATAACAGTATATGTAAATATTGATGGAAATGATCTAGTAGGGAAGGAGGGCTGAAACACTCATTCATTTGTTCATGAGTAAGAATGAATGGGAGCTGATGAAGTATTCAGAGTATGAGTAGACAACTCTTCAGAGATGCTTGCGTGTAGAGGGATCAGAGAGAAGGCTGGAGGGAAATTTAGGTTAAGAGGGAAATGAAGGTTTTTAGGATGACAAATACTTGAGACTATCTAAATGCTATTGGGAAAGACAGCAAAAATATTCATTTATTCCATCATTGTTTCAAAAAGTGAGATCACTACAGTAGGAGTAAGATGGACTGGGGTGTAGGGGTCCAAGACTGGAAGTGGGGAACAGTAGTTAGGGGATGATGGCAATAGTCCAGGTGATGATAGAGAAGAAAATTAAGGAGTGAATTAAGGCAGTGGAAGTAGAGATGAGACAGAACTCGAAGAATTTACAGCTGTCAATCTTTGGTTTCTTTTCATAAAACTGCCTTCCTTCCCTGCCAAACTCTTTCCTTAGCCCCTTTAATTTTCACCTTTGATCTCCTTCAGCTCTTCCCATTTGAAATCTTCAGACCCTCCCATGGCCCCCTCTAATCTCCAGGTACTTCTCTCTGGAACCTGAGGGGTAATGTAAGGAACCCTGGATTCAGGGTCAGACCAATCCCAACCAGCTGTGTGACATTTGGCAAGTCTCTTACTCTCTTGTCCTCAGTTTCTTCATCTTAATAAGAGAGTTCAATTGATGATCTAATTTGTCACTATTTGATGCCCTCCTCCCACCCCTAGGAGCATAAGCTAGGAGCCTGGGAACCCGAGCTCTCGGCCAGGCCTCAGCTGACTCAATATATGACCTTGAACAAGTCAAGACCCTTCTCTGAAAGGCTTCATTTTCCCATTTCTAAAGTGGGGACTGGTCTCTGGGCTTCCCGCCGTACAGGGTTGTCATAAGAGTCTACCTCAGAGATTTAAAAACTCAAGCACGAAGATAGACAACTGTGGAAAGAACCAGGGCACTGCAGACTCCCAGTTCTAACTCTAGCTGTGTGATCTTAAGCAAGTGACCCAGCCTCTCTGAGCCTATGTGCATCATCTGCAGAGTGGGCACAGTACTGGTGCTCACTTCGCAGGGCTGTCGTGAGACCCAGAAGCTCGCACCCCGAGCCGCCCCGTCTCTCCCCTCCCCACCTGCCGCCAGCCGACAGGGCCCCGCACCTGCGCAGCTGCTGGATCTTGTCGCGGTAGCGGTCGTAGAAGGGATTGGCTTCTAGCTCGGCCCCGACACCGCTGCCGTCGGCACCCCCGGCAGGCCGCCCCGAGCTGGGGCGCACAGGGAACACCCGCAGCTGCGCGGGTGAGACGAGCCCCAGGCCCAGGGCGCGGCTGCGCACCGCGCACAGGCCCCGATAGAGGCCGGCCACCTGCAGGACGGCGGGGCCGGCGCCACCCGCTGC